CAAAGAAACGGATATTTACTTTGAACACTCAATCAAACTTTCGTATTTACACTGACGTACACAGTGAACAAATCACTTTGTGTTTTCGAACGTCGTTTCTTAGGTTTAGAAGAAAAATAATTTTTTTCTTCTTTGATCTCGTTTCAGACCGTACTGCATTAAAAGCGCAAATTTCCCTTCCCCTTTTTTATTTATTTATTTATTTTTTTTTCATGACAATTATTCACCTCTAAGGCAGACGGTTTTATTTAATAAATTATGTTGTAGCTATATGGACTAAGAAGGAGATATTGCCGTCATATTACTTTTTTTTTTTTTTGCGTTTCATTAAATTATAAAAATACGTTCACAAAAAACTTACAAACTGCAATAAGAAAATAAATGTATGTTATATGTTTTAAATTAAATTACAAAATAAATGATGTTTACAATTTTAGAAACATTTTCTCTTTTAAAAAAAAAAAAATAAATACAATAAGATTGCTATCGTTTTTTAATTTCGTAATGTGCACCGTGTTCCAAAGACGCCAAGGGTCATACTTTTCACGAAAATCTTTTATTTTTTATTTTTTCATGTATGTGTATAGCGACACGAAGTCTGTATGAATTTTTTTTTTTTCCCCGGTTTTATACACATAAACCATGACATTATTTTCATTTCTAAATATCGCAGTTTACATCAAAAAATTGCAGTTAAAATTGAAAAACGTTCAACAGTATTTCAATGTCACATGAATTCAATTGGAAAAATTTAATTTGATTAAATGTATACCTTACATATTTTAAATATCGATTTATTTTTATATCAAGATAATAAACAAAATATTCACGTTTAATAATCCTAATAATTTACCAAATTTAATGAGCTCGGAATTATATGTAAGTACATATTCTTACTGTGACTAGATAATTTAGTTAAGACAAGAAATAAATTCGATTCACATGATTTGTACTAAAATGAGCCATATTTGATTTACATATTTTGACATACTTCTCTCTTATCCCATTTTTTTCTTACATAATAACATAGTTTTAATAAATTAGATTTTATATTTTATTAACCTTATTGCAATTTTGTCACGATATCGTGTATCCAAGATAATGATAATTTTTTTTTTATTTATCCTAAACTGCGTTTGGTGGTAGAGATATACGTTACAGAATAAATGAAATATAGTTGCATATTGAACTCACTCCTTTAAACATTGTAAATATGAAATTTACACCAATTACATCTGTTGAACATGAGCGTTCCATCAGTCGGTACAAATCTGTTTTGAGACCAAACAGTGGAAAATTTAACTTCAAAAATTTAAGTATACATACGTATCTCATTGTAATCAATATCCAGAATTAGGTTTAACTGTACAAATTGTAGTTTTTGTTTTTTTTTTTTTTAAATTTTTTATAAACTTCCATATTTTGGTTTTCTTATTAAATGTATTTACACATTTTAGTTTTTAAAAATCTTAAAACAATCCCAACAATAATTTCAAAAACAAATCATTATGAATTTGTATAAGAAGTTTTTTCGATTCAAATTTCAAGTCCTTATAGCCAAATATACAAGTGCTATTGAAATAAATATATAGCAAATGTGACTTCATGAGGTTATAGTATTTTCAACTCAGAAATTTTTAAAAACAACATCTTTGTGATACCAACTATGATGAAATGTTTCATCGATTAAGGTCAATCCTTAAAAGTTTTCGAGCACTTCTTCTATTAAAAAATAAATAAAACGACAAAGAAAACAATTCATTGTTTATAACCCGTGCATTCTGAGTGAATCAAAGCATCAATAACTTCAAAAATAATAATTTTAACTTTTGTATACATTAACTTAACAAATATTTTGAACCTGAAAACTTAAACAGTTTAAACTTTAAATGTTTTCATTTAATTAAGTATTGTGCTCATTTGGGTTCTCGAATTGTTTACAAATAATTTATGTTACTTGCTATTAAGTACCTATGAGTTAAGCCATTTTTTTGTATTTGGTACTTTGAGATTGTGGGTTAAGTTAAAAATGTATGAGTTGAAAATGAATGCCGAAGTTTTTGATCAATATAATTCGCTTACAATTTATAGTTATAAGTTCTATAATTCTTGCATAGTACTGAGCACATGACATTATTAAAAAAATAAGAATAAAAGCAGTAGGCTCATGTTTCCCGTAATTGGAGAGGGTGAACAAATTTGGATTTATAGTGAACGTAGATTAAAAGTATTGAAATTTAAATTCTTTAAACTTTTTTTTTTCATTCAACCAAAGTTTTAGTTTTTATTTAAACAAAAATATAAATTAAAGTTGATCAAAAACAAAAACAAAAAATTGTTATTAAAATATATTTCAAAAAAAGGGAAGAAATAAATGACAGACAAATGTAAATTTTATTCAGTTCTATGGCAAGGTTAATTTGAATAATGTATTAATTTTATTTTGTATGATAATTTTTTTTATAAATATTTTTATTATTTTTTTTTTTATAATTTTTAACTATTTTTCTTCAATATTCTTAATTAAATTACTAAATTAATTTATTTACTACTATATTTAAAAATACATTAAGACTTTTATTTATTAACGTTAAAATAATACTTTAAATTTGAGTTCAAAATGGGTTTTGATTAAAAAAATCACACAAAATTAACTATTTGAACTAAAACAAAATTAAAATTGAATAATGATTGTTTTATTTTTAATATAATGTATACATTGTTTGCAGTTTGCAATTAAAACATTTACAAGGTAGAAATAATTTTGATCTTAGATTTGCACCGGAGTAGTATAGGTTAATGAATACTCAAAATAATTAAATTTTAAAGGAATTACTAATTAATTAAATTTCCCTTTTCCGCCACTATTAATAATACTATTATATACTACTATGTATTATCGGCTATAATCAATATTAAAAACATCTTGTTGATGAAAAACTGACCTAAATAAATATTTCATTTTTTTGCTTTGAGAATATAATATAATTCATTATTATATAATAATGAATTATATTATATACACCCTCGAGTGTTTAAAATAGTACATACAAATATTTATTATATTGTATATAAATAATAATAAAATGTACGTCTATGATGGACGCGGTAAATCATGTTCTATAACTGGATTATACTTTTCGCGCGGCGAACACCGCCAAAGGGTACCAGGAGCGCAAGGTATATTTTTTCAATTATTGCGTCCGTCGATATTATCTTCGTGGTAAAAAGTCTATTGAAAACCGTATCGATGTTGTCCGTACCCTCTAAATCTACACATATACACCATTCTATCAAGTACGCCCTAAAACAAATCATTATTTAATCCCGACAGACCGCTATATTATAAAACCCTATGCGAATGTGTGAGTGTGTGTGTATGTGGGCGCGAGCGCGCTTGATCGCCAGTACGTAAATATATGTATACGTATATTTATAGATATATTCGTGGGTGTTCGGGTATCTGCGTATATCGGAGCACACGGTTTAATATCTGCCGGCCTTTTTCTCCCCTAATATTAATTACAGAAATGCCCCTCACACATCCCTCCCGCTGTTGCCCTCGCCGCAGCAGTATTATATCGGCAAGAACTCCCAAAATGTTTTGCCATTACTTTGCCATGCTCCCTCCCAGTCCACTGATTTATCATGTTGATTACTATACAACTGGGTTAACGGATGCAAAAACCGCAATGAACTATTTCGATCTCCAAAAAGGTGTTGTGCGGTGGGGATTATGGGCAGGGGGAAGCGGAGAACCGGAGAAAAACTTCGCTGGATTTTCCGAGGGTGCAACGAAATGTCTATTACGCAAGAAAACAAACCCGCTATACCGCTGGGGCAGCATCATGTCGAGGAATACACCGCGATTAATATCGTGATAAAATTTTTTTTTAAAGAAACGTCGCTCCCTGCAGCTTTAATAAAAATTCCGTGTGCATGAATGAAAATGGCAATATTGGACATACTGTAAAAATTATACTAAACAAAGTTTAATGAATTGAAATGATTTATCTACACTTTTCCGTAGAAATATATATGTTGTTTCGAATAAATTATTTTTCAACAGGCATACAGTGTACGTGTATTGGATAAATATGATATTTTTATATTAATCGAAAACTAAAAAGGACAACGAGAACTAAAGCATACTTGTTCGGATGGTTGGTAATAATATTCCTGTCTGTATTAAATGATATTGTAAACATTGATTATTTTATATTTTTAATAAGTTGATATTTAAATATTTCTATTCGATCAAATTTTCATCACTTAAGACACAATATTACAATAAAAAAACATAAATATACGTATTTTAGTACCGTTACTTAAACCTGAATAACCTTACCCATGTAATAAATAATTATAATTATAAAATCTATGAAATGGAATAAATAGTTTTTTATTTTGATATTTATATAATAGGCTATATTGTTGGTGATAAATATGTTATAATCTATAAAACACTGGACTGGAAAAATGTATTGTTAATTTTGTTCTTTAATTGCTCAACTTCGAAATTATTTTTCGATCATTGAAAAATGCCTCTGGTTATCTGTATAAATTAATTTTATGATAATATTGTTTGCTAATCAAAAATTATTTTTTCGCCCCAGGGGTTTTAAATTCTCTGAATGATGTTATAAAACGCAAAAAAATATTAAATTAAGTTTGAAAAAAAAAATGCATAGAAAATAACAACCATAAAAGCTGAATCGTGCGTTTTTTGACGTCCAGAGTTTTTTTTTTTTGTCCGTGTTTATTGTTCGTTGTTGCATTATCAAATACAATCAGATTTACGCCAATTTCCCTTCCTATACTTTTTAACTCTTTTTTTTTTTTTAAAAAAATTTGGTACATCCCTTTTTCTATATTATTGACGATCACAGAAAATCTTTGTGCGTCTAGTTCACTGTGTTCACAAAACTATGAATATAAACATAAATCACTAGTGGGCGGATTCGGATAAATATAATTCAGAAACTATTCACCACTTTCAGGAAACTGATTCAAAGAAATGGGAGAAAAAAGAAGCTTCGGGTCCTCCTTTACAGACAGCCAGCATGAGCGTCAGAGCTTTGATCGAAGAAAAAATTATACAAAAAAGAACCACAAAACCAATCACTGCGACTCAGAACGGATTAACATATTCAGGTAAAGAAAATTAATTTATATAAAAAAATATAATATAATATATAGTACAATTCCATTGGAATAAATGAAATAAATTACAAATATTTATTATAAAACAAACTAACTATTATAAATACGGAATAACTGTACTTTAATAGTCAGTATAAAATTCAAAACTTACCGTATAAAAATGTACAACAATATTATTGTTACTTTGATATTTTAGATTATAAAACGCTCTCGTTGGGCTTAAAAAAATGTACTGAAATTACAATTACAAATTCTTAATTCAATTATTTTACATAATTTAATCATACTATGTCGAGAGTAACGATCATATACTTAAATACTTAATAGCTGAATTTAAATTAATTCTATAGTAATTTATAAAATAGTCTTAAATGAATAAAGTACAGTCAATAAAGGAAAATACATTTTCAAAACATTTTAAAGTACATTTAATTGGCTTTTAGTCAAACATTTTCAACTTAATTTTTACGTAAGCATGCACTTTGCACAAACATTGAAAATACATGTTTCCAATCATACTATTTGTCTTTCAATGTTAACCTACTTTTAAAAACATAATGATTTGTATTCTTCCATTTACTGCCTGAATCAATTAGCTACAGTACGTTTAATTGATTTAATTACGTTCTCTAAACAGGATATCAATTTTTACTTTAATTTTATTCTCTATTTGGTTTTTACATTAAAAATATATAAATGAGATTAATGAAAAAGTTTCGTTTGGTCAGTTTTAATCGTATTAATGAAACAAAACGGTAATTGAATTATTTTATTGTTTCGAAAATAAAAAGTGTATTGAGTAATGGATCAGTAAATTAAATAGGATAGAGAAAATATATTAAAAAAAAACATTGTACATAAATATTTATATTATATTACCTATCATATATTATATATAAATAAGTGTTAAACAAAATAATTCAAAAATAAATATTTAGTACTGTTAAAATTAACTTAAAACTTATAAAAAAACCTTTTTTCTCATTTATTTGTCCCTTACTCATTTCATAAATACATTTTTCTCTTGATAAAAGTAAAAAATGCAACCAGAAAAATATATTATAAATTGAGTATAAATTGTTACATTTTATATAATTTTTGAAATAGTATTATAATATTATGTAAAACTTAATATATGTATAATATATTCACCTATACATAGGACTTTATATTATTTCAAATTGTAATTAACAATAATGTGAACATACAATTCTTTAAATTTAATTTTTAGTGGCTGTTAAAATTATAACCAATTTTATAGACTATTCTGAGTTATCGTCTCCCACAGAATTATTTCTTTTTTTTTTAATTTGTGTTATTGATTTAATACTTGTAATCGCAGTTTTATTCTACTTCAACTGTATTATCGTTGTTTGTTTAAGCATTCGCCTACAGAACTTTCCTCGGAAAACTCTTAACTAAACATGCATAAAAAAAGTTGAATTTAATACTAAAATAGAATTACGCATTAAAATAATTTCCAATAATAAAAAGTTCAGCGTTGGATAGCGAGTGTTTACTTATACTTAAAACATACTTTTTTCTTTAATGATAATATTGACTTAAAATATTAATAGCGTTGTCTGTATAAAATTAAAATAATAAACAAACAGATATACAGCAGTTTCAATTTAACCAATTATTAAAACCTAGCTTAAAATATCTTAAGCTAAACAGTTTTATTTCATTTTCATTTAAAATATATGAAATGATGTGTGTTATCTATAGAAAATGTACGCAGTAATCAGAAGAACATTTTAATATTTTTATGATATTCCTACAGCAATATTGCTTCCGAATATTTTATTTATCAACCTATTGTAATGTTTTAAAAATAAATATCAGGGAACCTATTAAAAAAAATATGTATAAACATGAATTGAATTTTGATACTTTAGACTGAGCCATAGTAAATAATTACGATCCAAGCGGAACTTGGCTTATCATTATCATTATGGTGTTTACAAAACAATATTTTGGTAATTTTACAAAATTCCCTGGAAAACCAGTTGGATGAATAACAAACTCCCCCTCCGAATGTATCATCCACATCGAATTATCCACCATTAGTCTATATATTATCTTAAATCACTAATTTTTTTGAAAAACCTGTCTCTAAAATTCGGGATTGAAAATTGACCGAGGATGTGAAACTTTACGGAAATTTTCCGAATTGCATTCCACGTCTTAGAGGGGTATGCTATGTACCCACGAGTTTATTTATCATGCACTTGATTGTTCATACAGTTGTTACAACTGATTAGTTTCTAGATTGAAATATTTTTTATATCCAAGGAAACATTTCCATAAATCCATATTTACATTTTATTTTATTATTATAAACTATTGAACAATCATCTTTATTATTTTTATTATTGTCAAAAAAACTGCACCAAATCTTATAATATTATTATTTATTTGAAATGGCATGTAAAAATGTAAAATACGTTCACTTAATTACCCTAAACTACAATTGTTTTATTTAATGTTTAATATATACAATGACACTTTCTCCAATTTGGTATCTATGATTCAAATAAATTAATATATTAATAAATTATATAATAATTGTAAAATATCAAATTTGCTAATCTCAATCACGTCGAAATAGACGCAGTTCGCACAAAAAAAAACAAACTTGTTTGAATTGTTTCTGACGGTATCGTGTTTGTTCTTATGTAATCGTCGCTGCCAATGTAAATACTCTCATTGGAAAATACGTGTATGTTTGTTTAGACTAATTCGTCAGAACTCGTCAGAACACATTTTCGTCAGAATTCGCGTCCATAATAACCATAACCTTAATGAATTATATCGCTTGTAAATAAAATTAATAGTTATAATTTAATCTAAATCACTTGACCACATGAAATGTTAACATTTGTTGATCCCCAGCTCGTATCATAATCCTGGATACGAGCTAACTCTACATTTTCAAATACCACAACGTTTTGCACCGAAATATTTACAAATTTGCATTTGATAACTCAAATCAAACAACTTTTTTTTAAAAAATTATTCGTTAAAAAAAAAAATAATCAAAAAGCAATGATTTGCATTGCAATAAAACTTTCGTTGATTTTTTTCTGCTGAAGTAAATTTTTTTTTCTTATCAATCCATTATATCGTCGAAATCGAACGGAAGCAGAACTTAAAACCGATAAAAAACCGTAAATTTGAAAACTGAAAACCGATAATCGCTTTTAGTTTTGGAATGCTGAAAGCGGTTATTGGTAATCAAGGTAAATATCTAAATATTAACATCAAAGCGATTACTTCGTATTTTCAATCCCGGTTTTATAACTAAAACCTAGTCTCGACCAAAATAATTAACGGTTTTTTCGCGGTATTAATACTTGAATTATGTCATGATTACATTGTACTATTAAAGTTTATAGAATTTAATTTTCCAACTATTTTTAAATATTTTTTATAATTTATTAGCCCCAAATATCAATTAATGGCCGTCGAATATCTGTTGTGAATATCATATATATATATGTATATATATAGGTATAACTATACATTATAAATACTGTCATGAACATCGTTGTCGTGGTGCGCTAATTCCTATTACAAAATAGTTGGTGGAATAGAGGCGTAGTCCATTTAGTATTAAGATATTTTAATACTGTCGTTTTAATATCTACTCATTCAATTTTTGGGGTATTGTATTATATACAATAAAACCAATAAGTTCTGTGTCAATCTTAGTGTCATCTTAGAAAATTATTATATTTAATTTCGGTTTTTTACCGTTATAAATAAGAAAATTATAACAATACAATATTTTGATGCAATTTAGTTTTTTGATTATCATTATCTTGATCATAATATGTTTTAAACTTTAAAGCAATTTGGAAAAATAAATATTAAAATTAAGTAAAATCGACTAAATTAAAGCATAGCCGATTACTAACTTTATTAGAAACGGTTTTAAGCCCTGAACGGAAGTGTACAATCGTTTTCTGTAGACCGTAACCTTACGTTATCGGTGTACATTATGCACAATACAATCCGAGGCCATACGCGCAGCAATTGTCGTCCGTCGGCGCTTAACGATGCGTGTTGATGTTTCAGGCTTGAACCGGGAAAAGGAAACGGTCGTGCAGCAAGTGGTGAGCCGGAGCACGGCGGTGCACGCGGTGATGACAACGGGCGGCACGTCGTTCGCGGTGCCCGCGGTTCCCAGTACCACGGCGCCGGTGGACTCGACGGTGGGCTCAGCTGACTCCACGGCGGTGGTGTACACGGATATAATACTGAAGAAGACCGGGGTGAAGCGGGCGTGCTCGGACCCGGGGTACCAGTACAATCATGGGTAAGCTAACGGGTTACGGTAACCGGTCGTGTTACCGGCGACGGATCTGGACGGTAACCAACGCGTCCCGGAGCGGAGTGTGCCGAACGAAAAGTTGCGTTCGGGGGGGGGGGGGGGAGAAGGATGAGACGCGAAAGCAGTAAAATCCTATAAACTCCGGAAGCCTTCGAATCCGTGTCTAAGCGCGTCCTCAAATTGAATGCGACGCTTCGTTCGTCATCCTGCAGCGCACGTCTTACTCTTCAGCCGTGAACTTTGCAAATTGCCGGTGTCTGAGGAAGACTGTCGGTTTAAAATAGGGTGTTTCGGGATTTTACGAATCCCTCCGACGAACCCTTGACTTAACTATTTAGATCGCCCGACTACATATGTATACATTTGTGCATAATTGACAAGACCTTGTCTCACACTCCGATAAAAACGATAAAAACTTTTATACATCCCTTCGGAAACTTTTTTTTCCCCTTTGACCAGGTTCGAACCGTATACAAACCTACACGTGTTTAGAATACTTGCCACGCGCGATACGTCATGTTCAGCGCGCATAATAATTGTTGATCGTAACAGTTTAAATTTCTGACACGAGATAATCTTTTGGTTATCAAACATATCAAAATTGAAGTGATCGTTTAACAGAACATCAAATCTCACTACAATACCATTGTACGTACCTGATGTATGACATTAATGATCAATGGAATGTATATTTAACGAAACAATAGCTTCCCGTCGTTAATTAATAGCAGCAACAAAGTTTACCGAAACTTTGAGTAATATTTTTTACTGGTTACTTTCACAAAGTGTCACCTTCAATACCCTTTAAAGCCTCTTGAAATACGACCGTCGTACAGTGCACTTTTACGTACATCGTTAAAATATAATTTTATACGGCACTTGGTCGAGGACGAATATTTATGTAAAAAACAGTAAACATTCAACAAAAACAAACGATCTGAAGACATGAACTTGGCCAAATAAAGACGATGAGAGTTTTCCGAGTATCGAGATGTTGTTTTCATAGAAATTACATTTTTCGTACTACACAGTCTATTTTACACTCTTCCAGGAACGTTAAAAATACTTAATAAATTGTTTTTGATGTTTTGAAAACGCATAGCTTCGTTTGGCTCTCTTTCTCGAAGTAATAAGATGAATAACAATCAAAATATTCATACGAAAAATTTATTTTATTTATCATTGTTTTGAATAAAAGGAGATGAGATCGACTATCAATCGGAATTTCATGTCCAATGAGAAACATTTCATATTAAAAATCGTTAAACGCCTAACTTTTAGAGTCTATTTATACATATATATAAATATGGTATAATTTATACTTTCCGGTATCGAATAAAAAAAATCTTGAGTTTAACGCGAAAATTCAAAACGCACACTAAATCTTCGCGGTCTTTGATATATTATATTCTATTATACTGAACAATGACCTGCGAGGCATGTACGTACGCTATACGAACTTATCCGAACCCGGTCACGATGTACACCTGCAGTGCAAAAATGCACTCGGACATCATAATTTTTTTTCTCTGACCAACCATCGGTGATCGTCGACTCTTTACGCAACAGTAAGCGTACATAAGAGTGGGCGAGTCCTAAGTGTGAGCGTGCGTGCGTTTTCGTGTACACGTATAAAGTGCGTATGTGTGAGTGTGTCGATTCAACGCCCGGTCCATTAATCTTTGGCCCGTAATGGGATTTCGTTGCAGCAGCACCAGCCCGCAAATAGATATTAATTACGCCAGTTCTCCATACACACTGAATCACGGTAACAGTGGTGGTGGCGGTGGCGGTGGCAACGTCGGCGGCGAAAAGGAAACCGATAACCAGGGCTATTATTCGCCAGGACTCAACGACGATATATTTCCCAACGTACAGACCGACTCCATGCTTTTGCAAGCCGTCGATTCCGTGCAGCTGGCCAATACGATACAGGTAAAAAGGACCGTCCACCTATGTACATATGTACCTATGTACCTATGTAGCATCTAAGTAATATATAGCGATAATTGAAGTAGTAGTAGTAGTATCGTATTTATCTTAGACGAGACCACCTTAGAAGTCCGAGACAAATAAATCGATCCAGTTATGGATAATGGCCGTGCGAATAAAAATAAGGCTTGTACGATTCAAACTTATCCAATCCCTAATTACACCCACGTTACGGATTGCTGTTCGTTTGCGATAACATTGAACGCATCAAATGTTTAGACGGTAAAAAATAATCATTCGCAAATCACCTCATTCACGTTGTGTTTGAAATCAAATATTTAAAGTTTGTCGACCGAAAACCAAGTTCTCCATGCGTATTATGTTTATCAAAAGGACACTATTTGTATGTATATGTATACATATATTTTTCCTATTCATATAGTCAAACTATTCTGTACAATTCTTAACGTACAGATTATTTGGAGGGGAGACAATAATAGTTGTCGATTAATCAAAAAAAAAAAAAAAACTCCGGAAATACCGTATGCATTAATCATCAGGACACCATCGAGCTTTTATCGTTACACGAACAAAAATGAGCTTTTCCCAAGGTTGGGTCTACTGAATCGGGTGTAGACGAGCAGAATTTCGGTGGCGTTATTGTTATTTAACGGGCGTGGCGTTAATCAGTCTTTGCCCCTCGCTTCAGAACACACAGACAATAAACCAAAAATTGATCAGAAATAAAAATGAGTAAAATACCTGCAAACAGGTCCCTTCTTATCCTTCAGTTAACATTGAATGTATTCAATTATGGCCCCCTATTTTAAATTTAAATATGGTAATTATTCAAATATTTTTAAATTGATTATCCGTGTGAACTCATTGAAAAGTGATGATGTAATTATACTAATCATCGTTATCAAATAATAATATACATATCAGTAATATTTGTATTTCACAACATCACGTCATCTCGATTAACCAAAATAACTCTGGTCGCCAAATTATTTGAAAATTTCCTGTTCGTTATTGACATGAAATTATTTATTGAATTATATTATATAATAATACCTATACATTTGTGGTTAATAGAGTTTGGTTGAACATATTATAGTTAACATTTGGATTACCTTCAAACAAATAAATACAATAAAAAATATAAACCTTTGAAGTTTGGGCAAATTCAGTAGATCGAGAAAGTTTTTGTGCAACGACCGTTTTTCCCTTTTCATATACGCTCGTTAGTAATAAATAAACGAGATTTCTTCCGTTTTTGAATCGTGTGTACTCCGCTACGTAAATTGTAAAAGTTTATATGACTACATACACGGATAAGTAAAAAACGAACTTTGTGTTTGATGGTCGATTTTATTGGGCCAAAGGCTAAAGTAAACTACCGGGTTGCAATTGCAAATATAAATATACTCAGTGCATTAAATACATACGGGGAAATCCATTTAGATCGGTGTTCTATATATACACATAAATGTATGTATATATATGTGTGTGTGAATTCTGTCTGCTTGTATTTACTTTTGATTCAATTTGCGATGCGAATGGACGCAGATGGTCGAGTGCCCTCTTCAAAAATAAACCCCATGACTGACATACGGCAATATACTCTATTTTGATATGAACAAGACAAATATTCCAGATCATGTAAATAAATACCCAATAATATTCAAATACCTCTGAAATCTAATCAACTTTAAACCGCGATAAAATAAATATACTCCATAATTATGATCACTAATGGTTTATGCATTTTTATTAGAATATGCTTAAGTTTGAACCCAATTTAAAAAAAAAATTAACATTTTTTACAGGCAACGGATATGCAAGACATGTCGTGTTTAGATGATTACGATGGCATGACAGATCTTCAAAACAATGAAGATTTTCAAGCTGTATTAAACTCTCCTCTTTCTGCCAGTCTAGCAGATTTAGCATACAGTTCAGGACAAACGATGTTTACAGATTTAGGCAAATCACCTCTTCCGTCTCCTAGTTTCACTTACCCAACTCCACCAGCCAGTCAAGAGGGTCAGTCTCCATCGCTAAATTTTCATTCAGTTATGTCGAACGGTCACCTTGGTGACTTTTTTTATTCATCCGACATGTCAAGTTCTGAAGCTGTTGAAGCAGCTCTAAGCGAAGTGTTACCAAATTTCGAATCCACTACTGATTCGCCTTTATCAGCGAATACGCCTGTTTCATCTCCAATGTCTATACAAAATACATCCGCTGCACCATCACCATTGCCTAATCATCATCAACACACACTACAGGTATGAAACGAGTATAGTTATTATATCCAAACAAAATTATTAATCAATACTTTAATACTACTTAGGTAATGATGCCAAATTCAGAAGACCCATTATTATCTAGCAGTCCTAAAGAATTTAGGAAGAAATTTGATTACCAGACATGCCGCTTGTATGGAGTCAATGGAACCATGGCCCAAGTAATCGATGGCAGTCAGTTTTTGATCGATAAAAACGGAGATTTGAAATTAGTTCAAGCCAGTTATCAAAACCCTGGAACTATGTTCGTGCAAACAGAAGCCCAGTTGATTGATAAACATATACCAGTTATCAAACAACAAAAGCCAGATAGTAACCAAAATATTGAAGATATAGATGACATTTTCCTTAATCCGTCGAGGTAAAATCTATATCTAATTTTTTTTTCTTTTTTCCCATTTCTCGCAAAAAATACTGGGCCTTATTAAGAAAAACTTGTTTTGAAGGAGGTCTTAAGTTCAAACAATTATTGAAAAAATTGTGTATATTAATTTTTATTAACACATATTTATAGCATACCACCAAATTCTACCAATAAAGTAAATAGAAAACGATGTTTCGGTGAAACAACAACATACAAATCGTTCAGATCCAGATTACGTTGCCATAGGCTTGGAATGTTGAATGAACCGACCTTACAGTACACTCCTAAGCCTATACTAAGTCCTTCTAGAAATGGGAGAGGCCTTTATTGGCAAGCAGTGACTTCATGGCCAAGCTCTTCAGCTATCAAAGGTAATTTATTTTTTCTTAACGCTATAGAGAAAAATATAATTTATATAGTACATAATAAAGATATATTCGAACATTCAAATATCATTATTCGATGCTACAATACCTATTATTATTAAACGTTTTGTGTTGCATGAAAACTTAAATGAATAATTTTCGTTACGTATTGAATTGTAGCATCGAATACTGATATTCGAATACTCGAATAATTCCCATCACTGGTACATAATACTAAAGGTACAAAAATGGTTCTTCAAATACTGAAGATTACTTTTTTTTTTTTTAGTTTGTGAAACATATAAATATTATTCACAAATTTTATTTGATAATATTTTAATATTTTAGAAGTAATTGTTGAGGATTGTGTTGGACAAGATTCACCGCCCGAATGCGATATCCTACCACACATCAATCTTGGTTCAAATTTCCAAGCAGCAATACCGCCAATAAGCAAAGTCAGAACAATTCGTGAACCATCTAATGATTATTTACTTTGGGACCCTTGTATTACAAATTCAGCTTCTGATAGAGAAGGTAAATTAGAAACTGTTTGAGTTTGTTTGTGTTGGAGCGTTTAGTTTTAACCTGAAATCTTTTAGTTGAAATGTACATGGACTTCGCTTGCTGTGCCGCAGTACCAGGTGGTGGGAGAAACAAAGAATATGCTCTGCACTTGCTACACCTGTGTAAAGGAAACGTTCAAGTATGCCCACGATATAATGTACCAATATATATTTATTAACGAGTTGTTCTGCTATTAGGAAGCCATGTTAAAATTAATGCAGCCAACACCGTATCTCCCTCAGGGACATCCATTAATGAAATTTGAGTATACAGAATCTGATCATTGGACTCCAAATGAAGTATCCATGTTTCACAAAGCTATATTTAAATTCAACAAAGATTTCGCGTTTATATCTAAAGAAGTAAATTGTTTATTTTAAATGAAAGACCTTAAAACTATTATTTAAATACATTATTTTATATTTATAGTTGGGAACAAAAACTCTGAAACAATGCATACAGTTTTATTATTTGTGGAAAAAAGTTTGCCCGGAAGACTATAAACAATTTCAATTTCAAAGGCGAAAGTCGAGAAATGAAGACACAATGGTTAATTCAAAATTAGACATTCCTGTAAGTACATTATAATACGTATACTCATTTGATATTATCTTTATAGGAATTTCTTTATTCCTCTCTTAGTAAACGCACTCACGTTATTGTGTTAAATTTTTTTGGGGTTTTTCTTTTTTTTATTTTGTCTCCCTTTAGGCTAACGACCTTGAGGTCACCACCAGTTCGGAGGACCAACAAACTTTCGTTTGCGAATTCTCAGACTGTTTGTCGGTGAGTAGGATCCTTTCTTTCCTCATTCGTATCCCTACTCAGTTTTAATGGGATGTAAATAATAAAAACGCGATTCATTGTATTCATTATCAGACATTCAACAACAAAATAGGATTAGCAGCTCATATGAGACTTCATACAAACGGAACACCAGACAGAAGGCAAACACCGACACCAACACAAATTGATCCGAATTATGAGGAATTTCCTTGCAAAATCTGTGGAAAGTACGTGATCCCAAAATGTTTAAATGTTTACCTTTACAAAAACATAATACAGTAGTATAATTTTTTCTTATAGGGTATTTAATAAAGTAAAAAGTCGAAGTGCTCATATGAAATCACACAGGCCTCCTGATGCGGAACCTAAGAAACCGAAATTGGATCAAACCGTCGATTACGGCCAAATGATGCAACTCAAGACGGTGGCAACACCAATTCAATTACATAGACAATGCTAAATAAAAGAATGTTTGGCCATAATGAAATGAAGCTCAAAATTAACCAGAGCTCGTACAATCAATAAAAACCTATGTCCAGGGTTTTTGCTATTAAAAAATGTCCAAGCAATATATACATAGTATAAATATGTAATAACGTACATATATATAAATGTGTATTATTACATATACGTATACAAACATACTTATAAATATAATATACACAAGTATGAGTGTGTATGCATATAAACTATAAAAATAATATCATACAAAAGTACTTCTTTACTGAATTCTGTAGCATCTAAACAAGGTCGTATCTGGGGGGGTCCAGGGTGTCTGGACCCCCCCCTCGAAATTTTTTCAATATTTTATGAATTTTTAAAATAATCATTTACTTTTAATATCAACATAAATATTTTCAGTCAAAAATTACTTAAGCTCCAATTAACTATTGACTGCTTTTAGTTTTATATCATAATATCATATAAATATATCATATTAGTTTTAATAAAAGAAGATTAAATCTTTTTCTGTCTTATTTTTAATCAATTATCAAAAGTTAAAATCTAAATTCAATAAAATTACAGTAAATATGTTTTGGACCCCTTCCGAAAAAATTTCTAGATGCGGCCTTGCATCTAAATAAGCAATAATCATAATGTCTTGGACAATAATAAATGCGAACAATTGTGCCAATCATACTCACCTTAGGATCAAAATGCTCAGTACGAAACATTACAACTCTTTTTAGTCTCTAAGCTTATGAAAATTATAAACCAAATTTCGTCAATTTATACATAAGGTGATCGAAATATTTTCAAATGTATGTATGTATGTGTGTGTGTATACATGTGCGTGTGCGTGTACGCACGTATACATATATATATATATATTTAATCTACGTACACGTTTATGTAAATATATATACGCTACCATTTACATATTTAATCAGAAAAACATATACGTAAAAAAATGTAATACACTCATTTGAAACACGAATTTGGTACCAACTTGAAAACAAAATTCAATTTAAAATCACTATTATGTAATTAATAATAATTATAGTGCCAAATAAAAATATTTTCCCCTTTGTATTTTTATATCCTGTTATTTTAATTTTGTGAATATTTAAAAAAAATTCAATGAAAATATTATCAAGTCGATGCTCAAATTCTTTGACTTAAATTTTGTAAATTAAATTTAGTTTCAGTCTTCCCTCCAAAAACAAATCCAAACTTCAAATGGTAGTGACTAGCTATATTATTGCTACATAAATTATTTGATTTTAGCGAATGTAATTAAACCTATATGTATAAATACTTATACATATTTATATATTATACACATTATATTATACCCTGCGATTAAATTAATGACTTACAATTACATCGATGATCGCCATTGGTTCACAAAAACTTTAATATAGGATCTAGTCCCAATGCATGTTTTTTGAATTGTTAGTTTAAATAAGTACAATTACGCGTCGCTTATATATTATATAATTCATATAAAAATGTATATTGAGATGTTAGTGATTAGGTAGTGGTATAGTATAAAAAGGTTTATTCTGCGCCTTTTTATTGCGCTACTTGAGGGTGTTTTTTAATGTTATTTGTTGCCAGTATTGATTTTTGTTATGTTTATTTACTTTGAAGGGAGCAATTTTACATTACTCCTACTATCCCTCCCCAAAAAGCGTTTTTTTATCCGGTCTCAAGCGTTGCCGGTACATTCCATCACTCCCCCACGTTCGAATTTTCCGGCTAAACATTGTGCGCCCACCAAAGGGTAATGATAATAATTAAAGGAAATAACGCTAAAATAAATTGTTATAGTTATTTTAGATAAGAGTTATACGAGATTTAAAATTAAAATTATATTAATTAATATGATTATCTTAAATTATTTAATAGTAAAAAATATTTAAAAGTATTTTAGTACATTCTTAATATTATATTATGATACATTTTTAGTATAGCTCTAAGTTATTATGTGTTTAGAATGTTCGTTGTTGTTTTGACTCGAAAAATTAAAGTTAAAGTTATCTTAATTCTTATTTTGTTTCGTTTTTAGTTAATTTACTGGCTAACTAGAAACTACATTATTGTACCTCTATGCGATAAGTACGTGTAACTAAATATATGTTTGTAAAAAA